GTATTAACATCCCACTTTCCTGGGGTAGGCAATACCATATGTGTCTAAATATAAAGCAAACATGGAAAATAAGATAATCTCACAGTTTCTCAGCAAGAAAATCTCCAAAAATGCTTTTTGGCCACTTGAATATATAAATTTTAGGGATACAGAAAAAATAGTCTTACATCTACCATTTGATTTCATAATTTAATTACACACATTTGAAATCACATATTACATAAAATAATATTTAGAAATGTTCATGCAGCAATCTGTTAATGGCAAAATAATATATGAAAATATTGCACTTTTCCCATTGACCTTTTGCAAAAACAATGGTATTCTAATTGGAGTCACTTTTTTTGTGTTGTAGATTTTTTTTTTTTTTTTTTTTTTTTTTTGGTGATGGAGTCTCGCTTTGTTGCCCAGGCTAAAGTGCAATGGCGAGATCTCAGCTCACTGCAACCTCTGCCTTCCGGGTTCAAGCAATTCTCCTACCTCAGCCTCCCAAGTAGCTGGGATTACAGGCACCCGCCATCACGCCTGGCTAATTTTTGTATTTTTAGTGGAGACAGGGCTCCTGACCTCAGGTGATCCACCCGCCTCGGCCTCCCAAAGTACTGGGATTACAGGCATGAGCTACCATGCATTGTAGAATTTTTAGAGAATGACAACTTCACTTCCAGCCAAAGGTGGAAGAGATGTCCCTTTTTGAATCCATGTATAATGTCCCACTGGAAATTGTATCTCAAGCCCCAAATAGCCATTTGTATGGCATTAGAGCAGTTCCCCCATCCTCACCCCATTTATCTGATAGAGGGGGAATATTTGTGATCACTTCCTTATGAAGACCTGTCACACAGCTTTTAAAAATAACCTTAAAGGATGTCAAACATTTGCAACTGGGAGATCATTCCTTTGGGAATTTAGATTAAATTCTACTAATTCCTTCATTCATTTTTTAAAAAGGTGACTCTCTAAGCATCTAAAACCAGAATTGATTGTGGTCATTCCCTGCCGTTGTGTTCTCCCCAAACAGGACTTTGTGGTTCAAAATGCAGTAGGGTCATTGACAGAACACCCTGTAATACAAGAACTTTTACAGGGCAGGATTATGTTAAGGCATCTGCTTAGTTCTGTTGTATGATGGCCAAGTGCTTAAGCTGTCCATAATGCACCCAACCCTGCAGCTCACCCAGGGTTACAAGAGGGATGCCTTAGAAGAGGGGCGCTCCCCTGGAAGATGGAAAGCTAGTGTGCTTTGCCAGGTGCACAGTTGTTGTTGTTGTTGTTTTGTTTTGTTTTGTTTTTGAGATGGAGTTTCACTCTTGTCACCCAGGCTGGAGTGCAATGGCTTGATCTCGGCTCACCGCAACCTCCGCCTCCCGGGTTCAAGTGAGTCTCCCATCTCAGCCTCTCAAGTAGCTGGAATTACAGGTGTCTGCCACCACACCCAGTTAATTTTCTTTTGTAGTTTTAGTAGAGACGAGATTTCACTATGTTGGCCAGGCTGATCTCGAACTCCTGACCTCAGGTGATCCACCTCAGCCTCCCAAAGTGCTGGGATTTTAGGTGTGAGCCACCACACCCGGCCCAGGTGCATTGTCTTGAACAGGTCATTTACTTTCTTGGGCCTTGGTTTTCTTATGGGAGAAATGAGGGGTTTAGGCTAGATTAGAGAAGAATTTTGGGGAGCACAAGGGGGGCATGGGGAGGGCATCATGTATTGGGGGGCTCTACTGCCCTCTTCTCATTCCCAAGTCAACAGAGAGTAATTCTGCTTTGATCTATTTTATATCAAGGAATTCCAGGTAAAATTTCCTTTGAAGTAAAGATCTTTTTTTTTAATTAAAAAAAAAAAAAAAAAAAAAGAGGAGCAGCTTGTTATTGAGGTCTGTCTGCTCTGAAGTTCTCTGACTTCAAAGCCATTGGGGTCATAGTTGTCTTCCTATTGATGGCTAATGAGGGCATGATGCGCCTGGTGATTTGGGGGTAGGTGCAGCCTGTGAGCTGCGAGCGTGCGCCATATGGCAGCACAGACGCTGCAGATCCCACCACTAAGGCCCGTTTAGCTAGAATCCCATCATCCCAGCAAATCTGCTTGGAATTTTATCAGATAGAAGCAAAGGACAAGACATGGTCCTCCAATTTTGCAACATACTTGAGTCACTTGGGGAGTTTTTAAAACTTCTGATGTCCGGGGCATACCCTATGCTAATGAAATCAAACTCTGGAGGTGGGATCCAAGCATCAGTAATTTGTAACTCTCCCCATGTGAGGCCTAATGTGCTGTCAAGTTTAAGAATAAGTGCCACTGGTACAGTCGCTTGGAAAACAGTATGGCAATTCCTCGAAAAATTAAAAATAGAATTACCATATGATCCAGCAATTTCACTTCTGGGTATATACCCAAAAGAATTGAATGCAGGTTCTCAAAGAGATATTTGTGTACCCATGTTCGTAGCAGTATTATTCGCAATAGCCATAAGGTGGGAGCAACGCAAACATCTATCAATAGATGAAGAATAAACAAAATGTGTTGTGTACATACAATAGAATATAGTTCAGCCTTAAAAAGGCAGGACATTCCGAGACATGCTGCGGCATGGATGAATCTTGAGAACATTATGCTAAGTGAAATAAGCCAGACACAAAAGGACAGATATTATATAATTCCACTTAAATTTCTTCTTTTCTTTTCAAATTATCTGCAGGGCAAGTTCTACACAGTTCCACTTACATGTAAGTTCCACTTACATGAGGTATCTAGAGGAGTCATTTTAACAGAAACGAAAAGTAGAATAGTGGTTGCCAGGGGTTGCAGGGAGAGATGGAGACTTGCTGTTCAATGGGTATGGAGTTTCAATTTTGCAAGTTGGAAAGAGTTCTGGAGATCGGCTGCACAACAATGTGAATGCACTTCACATTACTGAACCGTGCACTTAAAAATAATTGAAATGGGACATTTTATGTTAGATATATTTTACCACAATTAATGCAATAACATACAAAGAGTAAGTGGCATCATGAATGTCTTGCCGGTGAAAGTGAGGTCTGCGGGCAGCAGCGTCACCTCTCTTCGGAGCTGGTCACACACACAGTATCTGACGCCTGTCCCAGACCTGCTGAGTCAGCACTTGCATTTTTAAACAAAAAACCCCCAGGTGGTTCCTGCACTCACTCAACTTTGAGAAGTGCTAGAGTTGTAATGAACCAAATATTAGACCAGGGTTTAGAAGATCAGAAGATGTAGCAGACATTGTTGTTTGCCTACCCAGCATTCATTTATTTCCTTCCTTCCTTCCTTCCTTCCTTCCTTCCTTCCTTCCTTCCTTCCTTCCTTCCTTCCTTCCTTCTTTCCTTCCTTCCTTCCTTCCTTCCTCCCTTCCTTTCTTCTTACAGAAACTGACAATCTCTGAGTAGCCTCATGTTTCAGAGGAGGCTCACCTCATCCACATCCCATAGCGGTCCCACTCCCCTGACCAGTGGCTGCTTTACAGGTGGGCATGTTGCCTGGTTCTGGCCAATGAAACTAAAGGAAGTTCCACTGGAGAGTTTCTGGGAGAGGTTGCCTCCCCTTAAGGATGCCCAAGAAGAAAAGGCCTCTCCTTCCTTTGGAAGTTTTTTTTTTTTTTTTTTTTTTTTGAGACGGAGTCTCACTCTGTTGTCCAGGCTGGAGTGCAGTGGCATGATCTTGGCTCACTGCAACCTCCACCTCCCAGGTTCAAGTGATTCTCCTGCCTCAGCCTCCCAAGTAGTTGGGATTGCAGGCGCATGCCACTACACCTGGCTAATTTTTGTGTTTTTAGTAGAGATGGGGTTTCACCATGTTGGCCAGGCTGGTCTCCAACTCCTGACCTCAAGTGATCTGCTTGCCTCAGCCTCCCAAAGTGCTGAGATTACAGGCGTGAGCCACCATGCCCAGCCTCTTTGGAAGTTTGCACATTGGAATGGGACCCAAGCAAATTCCGGAGGCATCTTGGGACCTTGGGAGCAGCTATCCTGGCCCTTGTTCACACAGAGTGATTGACTGATAAGATCCTGGGTCTACCTCATCAAAGGATTTCTTGTTATATGAGATTAGAAATGTATTTATTGTTTCAGACCACATGAGGCAGGATTTTTCATTACTTGCAGCCCAGGGTTTCTTAACCTCTATGCTATTGACACCTAGAGCCAGATAATTCTTTGTTGTGGGTGGTTGTGTACCTAGGGCCAGATAATTCTTTGTTGTGGTTTGGTTGTGTGCATGGCAGGATGCCATGCCCTGGCCTCTGCCCCCTAGAGCCAATAGTCCTTCCCCTTCTCCCATGCGTGACAACTCGAGTGTCTCTGGACATTACCAATGTTCCCTGGGGATGGGGGCCAATGGCCCCCAGTTGAGCACCACTGTTGCTGCCAAAGGAGTGGTAAAGAATGTGAAGACCTTTTTATTCTGACTTCCGACGTTGCTGGAGAGCCCCAGGAGGGCAAAAATCACTACCTATGTCCCCGCCCCAGAGGTGTTGCAAGGATCAAAGTGAGATCAGGTGTGTGAGAAAAGCAAACACACACAAAGTGTTACTAACCATTACCCGTCTTTGATGCTGCTGATGCATTGATAGCAATGTTGTAGTTTCCATTTATTCTTAGATTTCATAGGCAGAGATGTTTAACTTAACAGATGGTCAGCATGGATAGTGAATGGAATTTTCCCTCAGCAAAGGCAGAGCGGCTTATGAGACTTTCAGGCTTTTCCTTGCTCAGAAATTCTGGATTCTCACCCAATTCATCAATCCCAATTCTCAATCCCAATTCATCATCCCATAAAGCCATGGGTGCTGAGGCGTTCTCCTGTTAACACCTGCGTTAAACACCATCTTGTACTTACGAAACATATTTTCACAGATGAAGAGACAGATTCCTATTTAGCTGCTGAAGAGAGGTCGACGCCCTTGGCTTACACATCTGTGGATTTAAGACCCACAGAGTCAGGGGAGCCTAAACAACCTCTCATTGTCTTTTGCTCCCCTTCCTAGAATCTGCTGACACATCAAGGCCACTTTTCTTAGGAGCCCCCTGACTACCAAAATCAGTACCTTTGGATTCATCTCTTCTGGGAGAGTTCAGTGTCTTCTGAAGTGTTACACAACGTACTTCAGGGCAAGAAGGTGTCCACGAGGAGCTCGACTTTATAGAAAGGTCTGGAGGAGAATGGGGAGGGTGGGGACAGGAGAGGGGACGGGGCTGTGAAAGGGAGGCGTTGGATGCACCTGATCATTTATGTCATCGAATACTTGCCATGTGCTCGGCAGAGGGGCTGGTGTTGGAGTGGGGAGCAAAGGCCATTAGGAGGCAGCTGCAGCCCTTGGGGGCCTCATGATCTACTGGAGAATGTGTGGAGGACATTGGGTCATTCCTGTAACATAGTCCCATATGGTGTGGGGTAACTATCCCCAGGAACAGGAGAACTATCTTGATTTTGGTTCCCCCAGCCCCACCCCTGCAACCCATGGGCTTTGAGGGGCACTGACTCCCTTGCTGAGCCCAGAGGTAGAACACACAGACCATAATTTTTGTTTTAGGGGTTGGTATATTACGGTTTGAACCAGAGAGGGCATTTGTTGGGGGCCTCTAGGAAAAGACAGCTTTGTGTTTCTTTGGGGGAGAAGGCTGTGGCTTGCAAAAGCGATGTTACAGCCCGGTTACATCCACGAAGGAGTTAAGCTGAGGACTGAGCCCATTCACAAAGAAAGACTGAGTCGAGAGAGCTGCCGGGAAATCAAGTTGGAGCCTTGCTCAAGCCACATCTGATCTATCTCCGGAATTTTTGGTAGTATGTGCTAATAACACCTCCTTATTATGTAAACTGATTTACACTGAGTTTTCTGATACTTTCATCATAAACTGTCCAAACTGGCACAGAATTTTGTACCAGGAAGGGGATGCTACAATGAACAAACCTTAAACGTGGATTGGTTGAGACATTCAGGCGAAGAGCAGCAAAGATGTCTCTATCAAACTAGGAAGATGGGGCCGGGTGCGGTAGCTCATGCCTGTAATGCACTTTGGGAGACCGAGGTGGGCGGATCACCTGAGATCAGGAGTTCAAGACCAGCCTGGTCAACATGGTGAAACCTTGTCTCTACTAAAAATACAAAAATTAGCCAGGCGTGGTGGCGCACACCTGTAATCCCAGCTACCTGGGAGGCTGAGGCAAGAGAATCGCTTGAACCCAGGAGGCAGTGGTTGCAGTGAGCCAAGATCATGCCATTGCATTCCAGCCTGGGCAACAAGAGTGAAACTTCATCACAAAAGCAAAACAAAACAAAACAAAAAACTAGGAAGATGGTAACCCTCATTTAACAAAATGGCCAGTTTTGCTGGCTTGCAGACCTAATGCTTATGGAGCCCATGATATTTCAAGATCTTCCAGGAAATATTCAGGATGTTGTCTACCTCTGGCAGTCTTCATTAAGGTCCTAGGAGACTCAACTCCTGGGAGATGGTGGTCCATTTAAAAGTGGAGAGGGATGAAAATAGTTCTGCTAAGAGAGAGTCTTTTTGCCTGGGCCCTGCAATCTGCAGTTGCAGGAAATTGATGAGCAAGTCCTGCTGTTTGGGAAAGCTGATTTATCTGGCTAAAGTTGGAGCACAGGCAACAAATGAGGCGACTTAAGCAAAAGCCATCTTCTCTTCCTTCTTTCGAGGTGGAGTTGGTGAGGCCGATGAGTGCCGGAGCAGCTCTTTCACCACTGTGAGGGCAGCCAAGCAAGAATAAAGCCAACACAAGGAGGGAAAACTGGAGAATCCCCAAGGAATGGAGCTGCGACCTGTTGCCACCTGCAGGCTTTGGATTTCTAGAATGTGTTCTTTACGATTTGAGCCAGTGTGAAGAGTTTCTAGCGAGTTTACACTATTATAGAGTGTGATGAACACTGAAATAAAAGTATGACTAAAGTGTTGGGTGGTTAAGAGAGAAGGTGGGTTAATTAGCTAAGAGAAGCAAGTTGTTGCTTTAGGCATTTAGAATGGAGTGAGTTGGAAAGAACCCACTGCAGTTCTTAATATTAAGCACACTATTTTCGTGGAAATTTATTCAACTCATCTGTGGCCATCATTAGGCTTCTCTTGGTCCATCCAGGTAGGAATGGATGTGTGAAGGCCTTAGTGGAGGTCAGTGCACCTGCATTTAGCAGACCCCAGGAAATGCTGGATGATGGAAGGAATTCTGCCATCTGTTGCCCCAGTCCCCAGGTGGGCTGAGGGAGTTCCCCAGTGTCCATGCACACTGGGAGCAGTCAGGTATCTGCTAATCCTCCTCTCTCCCCACTGCTGTCGCAGGAGATGGACCACATGTCTCCCAGGCTGAGAGCCTTCCTCTCCGAACCCATTGGAGAAAAGGATGTCTGCTGGGTGGATGGCATCAGTCATGAGCTCGCAATCAATTTGGTCACCAAAGGTATCAACAAGGTAATTCATTCTTTCTTACTTCTCTGACTTCTCTTCCCTACCTTTCTTCCCCTAGTCCTGCCAGATGGCAGTTCCTGCCACGTGTCCCTGTGAAGGGCCATCAGAGAACAAAGCTGCCGCTTGGCGGGGTGCCACATGCTTTCATGCTATTGACCCCACATGCTCGGGAAGCCTCAAGGGCCTGCAGATGATGGGCACATACACACAGAATGGTTTCAGCTCAGAGCAGCTGGGCTGGGCATGATTCACTTGGTGTTCAAACACTCAGGGGTCAACAGAAGTAGGTCAGCCGCCGGGGTCTGAGGCGAACTGTCAGAATGGGTGATTTAGGTGTACTCCACAGCCCCATGAAGGGACCCATGGCATCTCGCTTGCCCCTGCCAGGGCACCAGCCTGGAAATAGCAAGTGAAGAAACAGGAGCCTGTGGTCTACACCAGAGTGAGTTATTCTATGATGTCACTCTCAGCCCAAGAATGACCTCAAGGATATCCAGTGGAATTGGAATATCCTTTTCTATGTCATTGTTTTTATGGGGCTTTAAAAAAGCTGCTTAGGGCCTCAGGAGAGGAAGAGACAGTCCCAAAGAAAACGCAAAGAGAGTGAGCATAGACAAGGCAGGCTGTGAACTCACAGAACATGGCACGCCCGGTCAGGAGAGGCACCAACTAGAGCTGTTGCTATTCATTCTCCTCCATGCCCCAAGTCAGTCTACCAGGCAGGACAGTGTTACAGAAACACCCAAAGAGGCTGGGAACTACTGCACACATGACCGATGACTAGTTTGGTTTGCATCTAAATCTGAACCATGAGAGCCATGGTTTTCTGATTACCCCACGGCTCTGCACTAGCTGGTAAATATTCGGAATAACGCCCCAATCTGCGAGCCAGTTTAATGTCCAGTAGATGCTATCGTCAGAAACGGAAGCGCCCTATTGGATAGATTGGATTCTTTCCTTCCAGATGAAGGAGGCAGAACCATTCCCTAGGGAACAAATTTTAAATGAAAAAAATTTGTGTACTTCATTTATTTATTTATTTATTTATTTATTTAAGACAGGGTCTCACTCTGTTCCTCAGGCTGGAGTGCAGTGGTGCCATCTTGGCTGACTGCAACCTCTGCCTCCCAGGCTCAAGCGATCCTCTCACCTCAGCCTCCCATGTAGCTGGGACTACAGGTGTGTGCCACCACGCCTGGTTAAATTTTTGTACTTCTTGTAGAGACAGGGTTTTGGCATGTTGCTCGGGTTGGTCTCAAACTCCTGGACTCAAGTGATCCATGCACCTCGGCCTCCCGAAGTGCTGGAATTATAGGTGCGAGCCATCAGGCCCAGCAAAAAATTCCTTTTTTAGAAAAAGAAATAATCGTTCTTTTTACTTTCCTGTTGTGATGTAACATACCTAGGAGAATATGTGTTGATAAAAAGGGTACAGACCAATGAATTTTTACACATATATGTACACTCATGTACCCACTACTCAGATCTAGCAATCAGATGTCTCCAAAATTCCAGATGGTTCTCTTGTGCCTCTTCTTGGCCAAGGCTATCCCCTATCCTTAGAGGTAACCACTCTTCTGATGTCGAACACCATTGATTAAATGTGTCCATAATTGTGGGGGTTTGTTGTTGTTGTTCAGCTATACTCACTATTTTAAAAATGTTTTTATTAAGGTATAATGGATATACATACAGTAAATTTCACCCTTTGTAGTACATAGTTCTACGAGTTTTGACACATGCATGCAGTGATGCAGCTGCTACCATAGTCAAGACACAGAGCAATCCCATTACTCAAAATACTCATTCCCTTGTGCTCTTCATATTCACCAGCCTCAGTCCCTGGCAACCACTGGTTTATTTTCTGTCTCTGTAGTGTTGCCTTTTCCAGTTTAAGTCTGTGCGTACGAATAGCTTAACTGTGTTTTAAATGAGGATTATAGGTGGGTGGGTTTTAGAACAAAAAATGAATGAATAATGGAAAAATGTCAGGCATCTGAAAACTTCCCTGTAGAGCCAGGGCTGTGGGGACGGGTTGTCTGTGTGCAGCCGGGTCCCTGGAGATGTGCTCCTCTTGTGTCCATGACCTCCTGGCCAGTGCAGTGAGCACTTTCCTAGAGCTGCTAATTTTAGGCACTGGCACTGGGGCTGTCACCTGCATTCTTTGCTTTGAGCTGCCCACACCTGTGATTGAGATGAGGGTCCCTCTCTCCACTTTACCAATGAGGAGACAAGGGCTCCGAGGAGTAGTGCCTTGTCCGCTCCCAGGTGAGGACTGGAGCAACCGTGGATTGTACCATCACAAATTGCACAAGAAGATCCATGGCCAGGTGGTTATGCCCAGCAGGGAGGAGGCTTAGACTAAATTTGGCAGTGAGACCCCATATCAGGGTCTGGAGTCTGGCAGGGCCTGTAGTAAGACCCAGGAGGAGACCCAGATGTGGCCCCTCCAAGATGGGCAAGTGCTTCAGGGTGAGGACCCATCTGAAGTCAGGGCCAGCAATGACAGCATCCCGGACCAGCAGATCCTGGCAAGACAGGGTTCTCAGATTCAGCCAATAAAGATGCCGGCTCTTGGTGGTTTTTATTTTGTTTTGTTTTTTTGGTTTTGTTTTTGTTTTGAGACAGTCTCATTGTATTGTCCAGGCTGGGGTGCAGTGATGTGATCTCAGTTCACTGCAACCTCCTCATCCTGGGCGCAGCCACCACCTCAGCTTGCCAAGTAGCTAGGACTAGAGGCATGCACTACCATGCCCAGCTAATTTTTTGTGGTTTTTTTTGTTTGTTTGTTTGTTTTTGTTTTATTTTTTTGTAGAGACACAGTTTCGCCATGTTGTCCAGGCTGGTCTCAGCTCCTGGGCTCAAGTGATCCTCCCAAAGTGCTGGGATTACAGGCATGAGCCACCATGCCCGGCCTCTTGTATTTTCATACCTTGCCTGCAGGGAACCTAATCCTGGCATAGGGAGGGACATCTTTCTCGGCCTCACGAGACTTCCTGTCTTTGCTGGCTTCTGCCAAGGTGCAGCCATCACCTTCCCCTGCTCCCCGTCCCACCCCAGGCTGGGGCTCAGCCTCAGTTTCTTTGCTGTGCACAAAGCCACCTTGGGTTCCACCCTTGCTTATGACAGCGTTCCTGGCCTTGTCCCATGGGCTCTGCTCTCTCAGCCCTTTCTGCACCCTCTCTGTGCACCTGCTGGAATGCAGGCCTGTGGGCCACCCTCACACTTACCTCCCTGGGCTCCTCACTCAGCCATCAGCTCTCTCCAGAGACCCCAGGGTGCTAGATGCCCTGGGGGAGATGAGACACTGCCACCCCCCACCGATTTATCTGGCTGTCCTGTCACCTCTCTGGGAGTCCCCTTCTCAAACTCTTACCAACCCCTACATCGAGTACCTTCTCCATTCCTCCTCTCGCACAGGTCTTTCAGCTTTTTTTTAATGGAAGATGTGGGGTGCTGGGAGGGGACTGTTCTTACTGCTTGTCCCCATTTTCCCCAGAGCTTTGGCTCATGGCATGAACTGGTCTCCGGCTCCTGGTTTAAGTCAGGACTTTCAAAACTATTGATTCTGCCATGGATCTACCTAAGCCTCTTCAGGAGCTTAAAAGCCATATGTGATGGCCTTCTTCTGGGTGTTTTGTATCTGCCCTTCCCAGGGGCAATCAGCTGTGGCCTGAGGATCTAGATCCAGACAGCGGCCGCAGGTGCCTGTGCCCTCGTCCAAACTGAGATGTACTAGAAATATAAAACATACCCTGCAGTGTTAAAGACTGAGCCCGAAAAAGGAACATAAAATAGCTCATCCGTAATTATTTTATTGATCACATGTTGAAATGATAATATTTTGGAAATATGAGAGAAAATATGTTATTAGAATGAATTTCACCTGTTTCCTTCCCCTTTTTTACTGTGGCTACTAGGAAAATCAAAATCACATATGTGGCTAACTCACTTACTTCTGCTGGACAGCACTGCTCTAGACGTAAGAGCGAAAGAGCTGTAAGGGAGAAAGGAACTATGGAAACAGAAAATTAATGGTGCACATGGCAATGAGGCTCGCTGTGCCTGGCTCTAGCTCTGTCTTGTATTCTCTGTCCCCCCACCCCATCCCTGACTCCTATACTACAGCCAGACTGTCTGCGAACCACCCTCCTGCTAACCTGGAGCCTCTCTTGAAACAGGTTTTGATCCCCTTCAAGACCCTACTCACAGCCCACCTCCCCTGGGAAGCCTTCTTTCTGCCACCCCGCCCAACAGGGTCCTTTTTCTGAGCAGTTTGGGTTTTTGGTGGGAGCCCCTTGTTGTGACATCTGACAAAAGGTCTACTCTAGCTGGGCATGGTGACTCACGCCTATAATCCCAGCACTCTGGGAGGCCAAGTCAGGCAGACCACTTGAGGTTAGGAGTTCGAAACTAGCCTGACCAACATGGTGAAACTCCGTCTCTACTAAAACTACAGAAATTAACTGGGTGTGATGGCGCGTGCCTGTAGTCCCAGCTACTTGGGAAGCTGAGGTGGGAGGATCACTTGAACCCAGGACACAGAGATTGCAGTGACCTGAGACTGCACCACTGCACGCCAGTCTGGGTGACAGAGGGAGACTCCATCTCAAAATAAAATAAAATAAAATAAAATAAAATAAAATAAAATAAAATAAAATAAAATAAAAAATAAAGGTCGACTCTAGTTTTTCTGCACATGCCCCAAGAGTGCACAAAATGTTAGAGGCACAACTTGCCTGTGCCTTTCTCCCTAAGTTCCTTGGAGGCAGAGGATGGGTCTGTGTTCTTTGTACTTCTCTTCTCCCTGTGAAAACCCCACTTAGGGGTAGGTGAACTTCCAGACATCCCCTGAATGCAGAACTGTGGGGCAGGGCCCTGTGCTTGAGTTCTCCCACAGTGCAGAAGTAAGTTTAGCATCGCAGAGAATCTGGTTTGGTTCAATGCTCTTTGCAGATGCTATAAAGCCATATCCTTGAGCCTATATCTTCCTCCTAAGAGCT